ATTAATTTGTTTCAAAGCTAGAGCAGGAGATGCCTCTGAAAAGAAAAATCAAATCACCTATTCTAAGTTTTGCCCACCCTCTTAAAGGCTGCTCACTCAAAAAATCCATCTAGTTTCTCTCACCCAGGAAGAACTAATGATCATGTGAAACAAAGATACTAATGGCAGGTGGCATCTCTGAATCTCCTGTCATTGGGGAAATGCCTGTTTAATAAAACATCACTGCCTCAGTGACATGAACACTGTAGAGGAAGAATCACACAGAAACCATCATTCAGTTGCTTAACAGATTCTAACAACTGTGTGGTTTTGTGGGAACAGCTCTGGACTAGGAATTAGAAAGACAAAATTCAAGACCTCACTTAGCCAGTAACTTTGTGTGACCTTGGACAAATCCCATCATCTCTTTCTGGATCCCATTCTCCTCATCTGTAAAACTAAGAGAGCTGAATTAGATGATCTCAAAGTTCCCTTCCAGACTTACCATTCCATCATTCCACCACATTAACAATAAAGGACTACAACATGGACAAATTCTGATTAAGAAGTGACATCCAAACACCCTATCTAGATAAGCCTTTCCCCCTCCCATAATTTTTATATAACACAGGGTTTTCATTGTAAATGATCTTAGTATCTTATCATAAATAAGCTGTCTCTAACTTCAGTTGAATAGTTGCCACAACCTAATGTTAATGGCTGAATCTTCACTCGGATCCACACAAATACTGCCTAAAATGACGTATGTTAATTCTTAACACAAGCTTTAATACCTCAAGAATCTGATCAGTGTGAATATTCTCTCCACTGAAGCAGATCAAAACACCACTGCAACTTCAGTACAAGATCTTCATGAGTTGTGGTGGCCCCAAAATTCATCATCCTTAAGCCAACATGGTGATGAACCTCTCTGGGCTTAGCTCAGCTGGCTGTGAGACAACAAAGGCTGTCACTAAGCCCACACTCAAAGCTTTTCCAACTTGGTAGGACCTCCTAGAGCTTGTGCTAGCGATGCCTTTGAGAACCCATGGTCACTACCATGGGAGGGTCAAATACAGGAGGGCTTTAGCTTAGCAGATTTAAACAACAAAGTTTACTTTGTTGCAGGTCTACTTTAACGAGATTGAAAAAACAGAATTCTTCATACTACCTAAAATGTCAGGGTGACTAACTAAATGTTCATTCAGTGTCTATACTTTCTATTTATTTGTTCCCTTGAACAATAATTTTTACGTTAAAAAGTTGCATTGTAAAGATGAACACATGTGCATGAGAAATACTACTTGTAACTAAGATAATTTCATCATGTTGCAAACAAAAACAGCAGATTTTCTGAACATTTTTAACTGAAGTGAATAATTCAAATGTTAGAAAAGTATAAATTTGGGCACAGTTTAGTAAAAACAAGATTCAACTGCAAGTCGGAATACCTATGTTCTATTCTCAGCTCTGCTATGGACACAAAACCTCAGGCAAGATAGTCAAATGTCTCTAAGCATGAGTTTCTCCATCTCTAAAAAAGGAATGATACCTGTTCCTTCTACTTCACAGGTTTTTGTAAGAATAAATGAGATAACACATGTGAACATATTTCTTTGTCTCATGTAAAGACAACAAAATCCAATGCCATCATTATCATAGATATGAAACCATGGTGGTAAAGGAAAAGACAGAATGCACTTTAGCAAAGATTCAAACCCTTTGTTCTTAAAATTAAAAGACTGTTCTCAACCACACACTGGTATCACATGTTCATGCTGTGTTATCCAATAGTACTGTAATTACAGTAATAAGAACCTGACAGTCAATATTACAGCTTAATGATGAAAAACACCTTCTAGGTTTTCATATATCTGGTGCAAGATTTTATAATTTCCAGAAAGGTGAAGAGAGGAAACAGGAAAGGTAAAGACATTCACTTCAGAGCAATCCCAATGAGTCACACATCAAAATGCCTGGTACGAATATTCATTACACACAATGGATGGGTTGTCAACACCATTTCTCCTTGTTAAAACTTGAATTTGGCTTTGAAAATGCAGCGGAAAGGAGCTCTATTACGAAAAAGAAAACATATGGCTTAACACTGCTCCACTATTTCATCAACAGGATCTTGGTTCTAGTTGCTACAGCATTCTAATCACTAATATTTATGATTCCATAAGTTATGCCAATCAGTTTACATTCATGGAATTTTATATTATGTATGACAATTCTCTTTCAGGCAAATTTTAACATGATTTTAAAAGGTAATCAAATTTTAAAACCTCTTCTACAATGACCAGATAATACCTCAACAGCTTTTACATGCAGCAACTTCAGATGAAGAAACTGTCACATTAAAAGATTGTTATCTTTAAATCAAGTTAGAGATTGGCTGCTTACCAGGTATAACTTTTTTCAAAATAAGTTATTCTCATTAACAGTACTGTAATTAGATACATGAACTTCAAATCTACTGAAGAAATTAATTTTATGCCTCCAATAAATATTTAAATTGAGATTCTAAAATCACCTTTCCCTAATTTTGAAGAATACTCTGGTTCAGTTTATGTAAAGCAACACAGAAAAATGACTTAATTAGGTTATCCCAAGAGAAAGAAAATTCTCAAGTAATAAATATTAAAAATTAAATTTATTTTAAAGATAAGCTGCATTTAAATACAGAATTTTTTTAATGGTTGCAGATTCTCGAGTCTTTCCTTAATCCCAACTATATAAACAGAAAGACAACACTACTATTTAATCATGAAATACAAAATGAAGCTATGAAGAATATTTCAGCAACAGCAGTTGAATTCTCTCATTCTCTTTGCAAAGGAAGTCATTCAGAACAAACACCAAAATTGGCCTATTTATGTCTTTACAGGAAAGAATGATTGTAATATAAAACACTGACTGCCCTACTATGTGCTATTTAGATTACTTTAAGCCCCCCCAATATATGGGACTGAGAGTCACCCCTACTGTGAGATCACTTTTTGGCAAGATCTTTTTATTTTTCAACAACTTAGATCAATCTCATTAAATTGTTATCTGTAACAAGTGTTATATTGCACGTCTAGTGCATTCACTTAATAATTTTTTGGTCCAAAGTAATTCTGACTTAAGAGGAGAAAATGGAACATGGAACAAAAGATTTATGAAAAATCTGATAACTTCTTTATCTGACCCTTAACGACTGGCTCCAGATTCATGCTTTGATGTAGGGTAGTGACATTGGTGTTTAACAGTATTAATTAGTATTCATATTTTCAATGAGGAAAAAGTAACATGAAACCTTTACAATATTTTGACAAAGCAGTGGTGCTAAATGAAACACTGGCAAAATTAAAAATACAAAATATCCTTTTTGATTTAGAAACATTTGCTCATTACATTTATTTTGATCATGAGACTGACATATACTCCGGAGTGACATTAGACATATTTTTGCTCCAATAGTAATATTTAATGCTTTGATAAAGTAATAATATTTTAAAAATTCCAGGAAAAACAGGAAAAAGAGATAAATTGTTGCCTGGGTCAAGAAAAAAAAATCGCCCAGTTCCTAACCTGTAAAGAATTTCAAAAGCTGAACATTTTACTTTATTACATTTATCAAACTTTTGAAAGGTACTTCATTCAATTAAGACATTAGCTGTATTTTCCTAATCCTAAGAGAAATAATGAATAATTTTAGAAAAACTTGAATGAAACTCAGTGGAGTAACATCTCCATAGTTTGCCAAGTTTCATCTCCATGTATAGGAATAAACTTTTTTCCAACTAATCAGACCTAAGTGCCAATAAAAACCAATTAGGGACATAAAAATTCTTGCAAATTTTAATATTTACCAATATAACAATAAGAGTGTGGTTAGGATTTATGGAACTACACATCATACATTTGGGCTAAGCATATACATTTGATATTCTGTCCCTAGCAGAGAAAAGTTGGTACTGGAAAGTTGGTAGGAAATCTCTCATGCTTTAGCTAAGACATGCTATAATATAACCTGTCATTAAAAAAATCCCTCAGACCAGAGAAAAGTAAGGATGCAGATGGTTTATATATAAGCCACAAAAATGTCAACTAGAATGCTGTGTTCAGCCCTTCCAAAAGCCAGCATCTCCCCAAGCTCTCTTAGCTGAAAATGCAACAACAGTCAACCTGGGACTGCAGAAGAGAGAAGGGGCTTCAGATCAGATCTGAAGAGAACCAGGTGAGCCTTCTTGTGATTCAAATACGACCTGGCTACTAAGAACGACCAGCACCTATGCTAAGTCACAGTGGAAGATTTCAATGGTTAGTTCTTCTCAGGACTAAAACCACCAAGGAAGCAACAAAACAAGAAACAGGAAGAGACAGCTGGACTAATCATTTTAAACAGCGGGATCAAACCTGAAACTGTAGTACAAGGAAGAAAGTGAGGGAAAACATTGAAGAATGTGTCAACAAAAGGTTGACAAAAGGAGAACAAAATCAAATGTCAGGAGCAGACCAAGTGTACTGAGGTTTCTTAGGGATGTCATGGGCATGGGTGAGTAGAGTAAAAATGAATTGTATGTGAATACATTTTGTCATTTTCTATAAGTTGAAAATCATGCATGATAGAGGAGAGTTTCTTAATATCAAAAATTGTCTTACATCCATAGACCAATTAGGAAGGAAGGGTCTCTAGGGCGAGCAACCTAAACCTTAAATACACTGTTGCATCTCAGTATGGTTACCCAAGGTAGCACACCTACTTCTGTGATTAAGCCACAACCACCACCACCCTCAGTACTTTGACTAAAACCTTAAAGATTAAGAAATTGTTCATTTTAAGATTAAACAAACAGTTTTGAAGAAGCAATGGATGAAAACACACAAGAGGTGTTACATTTACCCTTAGATAAGTTGATACACTCAAGAGGGAAGTGAAAACATTTTCTTCTCCAGAAAAATAGGTTCACATCTAATACCATGGGGATGGTGTCTTGGGGTAGCTGACCTTACGCAGCAGGTCCTTTTCTTACCTGCATAGAAGCGGATGAGGCACCCGATCTCCGAATCCATGCCCTCCTCCTGCACCCTCCATAGCTCCCTAAATCCCAGTTGGAAGAGGTAGTCATTTTGGATCTGCAGTGGCTTCTCGTGTGCCTCCAGCCGACGGGTGGTCTCCCCGTGAAACTGCACGTACAGGGCTGGCATAGGGGCTGTCTTGTCCGCAGCTCCTCCGTACCCAGGAGGCAATGACTTGAGCTCCCCACTAATTCCTCCTGCAGTCGTCTTCTCCAGAGGCCCGTCCTGGGCGACCCCACCCCGGCTGTCCACCCCCTTCTGGGCTTTCGGTGGTGACTGTGCTGGGGCAGCAAGTGAAGGATGGAGTGGTGGGAAATCGCTGGGCTTCTCTGCCACTGGCCCCACCGCCCGAGACGGAGCTGAGCCGTCCGGGTGATGGGCGAGGCCCGACCCCTCCGTCGGCGCCGGGGCAGGGGCAGTGGCAGGGGTAGAGGTAGGGGTGGAATCGGCCTCCAGCTCCTCGGAGGAGGAGCTGCCGCCGCCGCCGCCGCTGCTATAGGGGTCCAGTCGGTCGGACACGCTCTCGGCGCTGGGGCTCAGGCTGAAACTCTCGGTGTCCGAGGCCGGGCCTCCCACCACGCCGTCCACCGGCCGCAGGTCACCCAGCAGGGAGCCGGGAACCCCTGCGTACAGAACCCCGGGGCTGAAGTCCGAAGGCGCTGGGCTGCCGTGGGTCAGGCACCCCACAAATCTCCCCGCCCCGTCGCTCCGGAGAGGCAGATCCCCCGGGGGCGTGCGCGGCTTCCCCCCGACGGCGGGCTCGGCTGGCTCCCCAAGCCCGTTCTTCCTCGCGTGCTGCACCCCGGGCTCATCGTCGGGCGCTGTCAATCCGGGACGGGAGCCGGGGCCTTCGGGGCCCCGGGCCACCTGCCCGCCGCAACCGCCGGAGGGGACGCCACCGTGGCCGGCCGTCGGGGCGTCCGCAGCAGGTCCCCGCCAGTGCGGCTGGGGCTGGGCCGGCGGCGAGGGCCCCCTGCCCAGAACCTTCATCACCACGCCGCCTCCGCCGCCTTTGTGCCCCAGCTGCAGCAGGCGGGCCGCCACCTCGCCGGCCGTGGTGTCCAGCGTGCAGAGCACTGGGCGCAGGTAAGTCGAGGCCATGTGGCGGTCGAAGACGTGCACGCAGCCCCGCTGCAGCTGGTGCCTCACCCAGTCCCGGTCGGACGGCTGCAGCTGCATCATCTGTCTATGCTTCAGCAGCAGCGTCTTCCTGTCCAGGCTCCGGGTGCACAGCGACGCCGAGGCCGAGCAAGAGGCGGCCAGGCTGGCAGCGCTGGAGGAGTGGGAGGCGGCGGCGGCCGAGGAAGAAGAGGAGGAGGAAGAGGAGGAGGAGGAGGAGGAGGAGGAGGAGGAGGTGGCGGCGGCGGACAGATTCCTCTTCAGCCGCCCCCTTCGCAGGAGCAGGGAGTTCGCGCCGCTGCCCGCCCCGGGCGCCGGGGGAGCCCCGTTGGCCGCGAGCAGGGGCGCCCCTCTCCTCCTCCTCCGCACGGTGCCCCCGGCTTTGCCCGGCAGCGCCCCGGCGGGGGCCTCCTCCCCGGCCCCGCTGCCGGACAGGAACTGCACGTTCGGGGTCCCCGAGGGCAGGGGGCTCCCTGGGCTCCGGCCGCCGCCCCCCGCCGTCCCCGCCAGAGCTGCCGCCGCCGCCGGAGCCGGAGCCAGAGCCGGAGCCGGAGCCGGAGCCCGATCCTCCCTGCTGGTCTCTGGGAGTCGCTGCACCGTGGCCGCGGCGGCGGGCTCCATTGCAGTGGAGCTGTGCGTCTCCCCCCCCAGCTCCGGAGCGAGGAGAAGGGAGCGGGAGGAGGTGAAGCGAAGGTGGGAGAGGGCGGCGGCGGCGGAGGAGGAGGAGGAACTGGGAAGGAGAAGCCAATGGCGTTCGGGGCTGCCGTTCCAGGGGATTATGTGGCAATTCGGAGCATTCCGTCGGTGTCTCGGGGTTCCATCCCGCGCACCCGCCTCACCGCCACCGTCTCCTCCTCCTCCTCCTCCTCCCCGCCCCGGGCTCGGGCGCCCAGGCCGCTGGCCACGCCCCCTCCCTCCACCTCTTCGGGCGAACCAGCAGCCCAGAAGAAGTGCTCATTGAATATTAATCAAGCCGGGGCGAGGGGAGGGTGGAAGGCGGGAGGGAGCGAGGGGAGGGCAGCTCCGTGCCGGTTCATGAATATGCATCGTTGGCATGACGGCATTCCACGGCGAGATGGGGCGGGGCACGGGGAGGGCCCGAGAGGGACCGTGGAGGGAGGTGGGGCTTCAGGGTAAACAAACGTGACGCGTGCGTACAGGGGCTGTTTCCTGGGAGGTTTCTCCCGCCGCAGCTACTGACGAGGCCTCCAGGTGGGAAAAGGAGAAGGAGGATGGAGGGTGGGAAATTGAGAACCCAAAGCTGCGCGCGGCATCTTGGGAAATGTAGTTCCGAGTGAATAGAACGCTATCCTCAAGTGGAAACTGAAAGACTACGAATCCCGGCGGACCGTTCCCACCAGCCCTCCCTCTCTAGACTTGGAGCTGGGCTGGTGGAATGGGAATTGTGCCCTCTACTGTTGGACAGGGGGTTGGGAGAGGCATTTGTTGGGTCTGTCAGTTAACTACCCTGGTTCCTTCACGCTGCCTGATGACCGTTAAGGACACTTAGCCTAAGATGTCTTTCTGGCTTGATCAAGTGCCTCGTTGGGTGTGTGGACCCTTCACACCTTTTTCCTCACCCACAACCGCCTAATTACAACCGAGCCCATACTCCTTGGGGCGTCTGTGTCCTTCAGCTTTGTGCGGGGAACGTGGACTTTGTACAGAGAATCGGCCTCTTTGTGCGCTGGGGGCTGACCTGGGTTTGAATCCAGACGCTGCCCGTAACATCTGTGACCTTGAGTGGGTCACCTCAGTGGAAGTTCAGCAAGTAGCCTTATCTGTACAAGGAAAGGAGGCACTTGGGTCGCTCAGTAGATAGATCTCTGGGCCTGAAGTCAGGAAGACCTGAGTTCAAATCCAGATTTAGACACTGACTAGCTGCGTGACCCTGGGCAAGTCATTTAACCTATATCTGCCTTAATCTACTGGAGAAAGAAACGGCAATATCTTTGCCAAGAAAACCCCATGGACAATAGAGTCCATCTGGTCAGGAAGACAGAGATGACTGAACAACAACAAAAAATGAAGGATTTGGACTAGATATATTACATCAATCAAAGAGTTTTTATTAAGCACCTACTCTGTCCCAGGCCTTGTGCAAGATCCTAGGAATGCAGACAATAAATTCGGCAGCCACTGTCCACAGGATAGGAGGTGCTGATGAGCTGACGAAGATGATGTAGAAGGTCCCTTCCAGCTCTCAATCTGTGATTTGCTTTCCCATGACCAGAGGAAATTTCTGACCTGCCCAAGAAACCCTGTTTGAAGTGAGAGTGTTGATTATCAAATGCTTTCCTCTGGGCTAGAATAATAGGATTTTGAGCTAGAGAATATATTAAGATCACCTAGACTACACCTAGACCAGAAGTTCTCAAAGTATAGCCTGGAGAACCCTGGGAGTCCCAGAGACCCTTTCAGGGGATCCACAAGGCCAAAACTTTCCATAGTAATACTATGACATTTTCATTTGCAATATGGTAAATGTTAATAGATACTGACAAAACCACATGAAAGTTTTTTCGCAACCTCAATAATTTGGAGGACAGCTCCCTGGTACAATGGATAGAGTGCCAGGCCTGAAGTCAGGAAGACTCACCTTCCTGAATTAAAATCTGGCCTCAGACACTTACTAGCTGTGTGACCCTGGGCAAGTCACCTCACCCTATTTGCCTCAGTTGCTTATCTATAAAATGAGTTGGAGAAAGAATGGCAAACCACTCCAGTATCTTTGCCAAGAGAACCACAAATGGAGTCACGAAGAGTCAGACACAACTGAACAACAAATAAGAACAATAATATTTTAACAAAACTCTAAAGGTGTTCTGAGACCGAAATGTTTGAGCCAACCAAAAAGTCAGACCAACTGCCTTTTATTTTGCAGATGAAGACTTAGAGGCTCAGAAAGGAAAAACTTGGCCCTGAAAGATCCTTATGAAAGGAGCAGGAGTACTGAAGATAAATCACCTAAGAGCCATATGGGAAGAACTGCAACTAACTAGAAACAAACTGCTTAGATACTTTAATATGGTATTTTAAATTTCTCCAGTGTTCTATCCATATTGTTCTATGGTTGCAAATAACCACTGCTGTCTGCAAAGAATTAAAAATGAGTATCACACAGAGGGGAATGGAAAGGTACAGGCTAAGTATAAGAAGGCTACAACAAATAACAAAAAAAGGAACTTCAAAGAACTCAAGGATGTTATCAAGGAAATTTTTAATTAATAAAGATGAGCCAGTCATGTGGTCAGACCTAGGGATAACTGGGAGCCAGCCATATGCTCATCTGGAATCCTGGCAATAAGGTAAAGAGAAATTGAGGAAGGCTTCCAGCACCCCAGGTGGACACCCATCCCCCAGAACTTATTGGAGGAGATAGAAAAGAATCACACAGGAGAAGCAGGCATGCATGGGTTACAATCTGCATGGCTGGAGGGAATGCTTATTCTGATGAAATCACAGATTTATTGGAAAACATTAGAAAAGGCTCTATGATCCATGTTAAATTTCAGTCATGACCTTTCCTCCTTATATTAGGCACTCAGCACACTTCACAATCTTCCTTGTTTTGCACAAAGAAAAAAAAATTTCTCATATTAACCCTATAGTTCTAATTTCTAGAGTTCCACTTCAGGATCAACGTGCTACATTGGAACTTTATTTTTAATCATAAACTATAGTTTTATATCACTACTGGCTTCTGGAATACTCCACAGTTTAGTTGAGACCACTATATGAAAATACAGAACTATATTTATTCTGTCTCTAGTTACTATCTTTACCCATTCCGGTCAGAAGTTTGTTTTTGTTTTTGTTTTTAATTTTATCCTCTTGGTCTTTTATCTTCTGAAGGTACTTATACACAAAACATTTCTTTCAAAGAAAGATCACATTGGTCATGGGGTTCCAAAAGCCTGTGGAGTTTTTCTTTGTTCACTGTTGTGAGCTTAGATAATACTATTTGTGGGCAAACAAGAGAAAATCTTAGTCCTTGTATGTAGGAGTTGCTTTTGTTCTTGGTGGAGGATGAAAGGGAAGAAAATATAGAAATTTCAATGACAAATTCATTTGAAATGCTAGAAGCTGAGCTAATATTTAATATTGCTAATATTTAGCAATATTGTTTGAAATTTTCAAGGTAGTCTTTACTTATTTCCTAATGGACTTAACAATTGATCAGCTGGAATATTGTTGGTAGTCATAGTTAAACAAATTAGAAGGTTAGACATTTTCTATGATCCTTACAACCTTTCAAACTTCCCCAAAATAGGAATTAGGCACAAGAGATAAAGCAATTTTACTTATCTCTAAGGTCTAAGGTACCAAGAACCCTAATGATACAAAAATCAGATGAACTAACAGCAGAAGAGACTAATTCTCTTTCTAATTCCTAACCTATTTATCCTCACCATTCCTTCTGTTACCCACCATGCTCTGACAAGTCTGCACAAGCCAACCCATGGGCATATGGAAGAAATGAGCATTACTTGCTCCCTCTTTTCCTCCAGCGCCATGGAAAACCAAAAGGCAAAAGCTTACTCTGGCTGGGACAGAATCGTGGCAACGCTCTGTGTGGCAATTGTATTCAACTAGAGACGTGAGGAAAAGAAGGAATGGGACATATGTAGCATTCCACTAAGCCAGAGGAAAAAGACCTCGCATCCAGAAGGGGCTGGTTCTGTCCCCTTAGAAATCACATGAGGCAGAAACTGAGGCTGGTGGAATGTGAATTGCCTAGTGTGAGAGGAAGCTAAAATGACTTTGAGCTCTAGCTCCCATTAAACTGCCATCAAAGGGAAAGGAGTCAGAAAGTGATCAGAAGGGGGAAACCATAAAAATCTCAGGAGAAAAAAAAGGGCATAAGCAAATAAACAGAGAATCTATTAATAACAGAAGGAATTTGGCCTCCAGACCAGCTAAATCAGTCCATACATCTATGAATCAATATTGCAAGAAAAAAATGATGAGAAGAAAAAATATTTGATGAGGCAGTGGACTCTAGATTCCCAAGAGAGCACAAAATTATAGGAGATCATTCCTGAATTGTTTAAAAGAGAAATAAGAATTCTAAAATCAGAATTTATGGCCTGTAAAATAGAAATAATTGACAAAGTAGAAAAACTTGAATCCATAGTGGCAATTCTCACCAAAGAAACAAAAAAGGAGATTCCTAATTAGGAATGCAAATACGTAGAAGTAAAGGACAACCTGAAAGGAAAAAAGCAAAAAGAATAATATTAAAAGAAAATATGATCTCTATACAAGCAAAATGTCACATAGAGACAAGTTATCTCAGAAGAACCCAAGTAAAAAAAAAAACAAACCTGGATTTCATAGTGCAAGAAATAATACAAGGAAACTATGCAGAACTTCGGAACATAGAAAACTAAGAGCCAATCAAAATAATTTACATGCCGCTTCCAGAAAACAAATCTTATGCTGCAAATTTCAAGACATATAGTGGTTAAATTTAACAGATCTACTGAAACAAAAAATTCTGTAAGACACCAGGATAAAAAGACTTTCAATTATAAAGAAAAGAATATTCAAATTTTCAAGACTATTTCACATCCATCAGAAACTGAGGAAGGAATGAAATAATATATTCCAAAAAGCAAAGATGTACTCCAAGGTAAAATTTCCTGCAAACCTGAACCTGATAATGAAAAAAGATATTCGATAAGGAAAAAAAAGAGGCATTTGAAGCATTCCTAGAAAGAAAAGACTAACAACAAACAATTAGGTTTTAGAATGACATTAGGCCTATATCAAATCATGCCCTGGATACATAAAGCATCTTTCACAAAGTAGGGATTCACAATAAAAA